ATAATTTAATTAATTCAATATAAAAAATAAAAAAATTATTTAGTTTCGGTTCTTGTTCGGTTCTTCGGTTCTTGGTCTAGACCCGAGACCCGACCCAAACCCATCGGTTCTCGATTCGGGTACCCGTTTGGGTATTTAATTTATGAAGAACCGCTCTGTTCGGTTCGGTTCGGTTCGGTCCGGTTCGGTTCGGGACTTTTGGACACCCCTACCCACAGCCCAGGATTAATGCAAAGTTTACAAAAAGAAAATGCACCAGCAATGCAGGAGAAAATGACAGCAGAAAACAAATGTAAAACCAGTAGAAAAATAACCAGCTGCAAGAAATAAAACTACAAAACAGATTGGAAACAGGAAGAGTTATTCTTCCTCAATCTTTATAGACCAAAGATTACATGAATCAGTAGAAAGAATTTCCAGATTGATTTTCCTAGAGACTTCTCACTCTCACAATCTACAATTCCTACTACAAGAAAATTCTACATTTTTTCTCTAACCTGAATTAAAGAAATCTTCAGAGTTTTACCACTCTCAAGCTCATATTCAGAGCTCCATTTTCTATAGAAATTCCCTCTCATTCAGAGCTCTCTATCGAGCTCTCTTTTTTTGTATCTCGAGCTCCACTTTTCTCACAGAGATACACTCTGTTTCGAGCTCCATTTGTCTCCAGTCTACTGCTGTTATTTATAGGCATATATGAGGCTCCATTGCTAACCAACAAGGCTCCAAGTTGTTGAAGATGCTAACCAAAAAATGGTAGTTGAAACAGGTGGTTAAAGGCTTCAATCTGTTGGAATATGTTTTGTATGAGTTGAGGAATCTTCAAGGAATCAATTGTCTCGTCAGAATGTATCAAACCAAATTGCATATACTTTACAGATGATGATTGTGAGCTCTAATTCAATGAATCATGTGGAGGTGGCCATGACACAGGAATCTTTAACATGGAAGACGAAACCATTCAATTAAATTATGCTTTCGGATATTTCATACGAAAACTGAATTTTCTGAGCATGAAAGCCATGACCATGATCCCAAAAGAAAGGTGAAGAAATGACAAAAAAACTAGGTAAAATATAGGTAATTCAGGGAGTGATAAAACTGGTATACTTTCGTATATTTGAAAATATTATCCCATTTATTTCATGTTTAGTTTTGGTATACTTTCGTATATTTTAGAATATTCGTTTATTCCATGTGGAAAGGTTTTGTCCATTTACCAAC